AAAACAGATAATAAAATTAGGATAATAACTGAATAATACACAAAGGTGAAGATTACTAAAATCTTGGTAAGGATGAATCAAGAAAACCGGACACAAAACAGTACAGGTGCACACTGTCCCATCCCTTTTAGATGAAGTTCAAAAACAGGTAAATCTATAATATGATAAGAATTGGAATAACCATACCCATGGGAAGCTGGATACTAACCAGGAAGGGATTAACTGGGAATGGAAAACTTCTGGGGTGAGGATAATGTTTTAATTTTGATTTGGATATGGTTACATATATGCAGAAAAATAAATACCAAGGCAAAAATTCACCAAGTTGTACAGTTAGGATTTGCACACTTTATACAATTGAGTTATATTTCACTCTGTGCTTCCCCCCACTTTCATGGCAGGATTAATCTCCTGGGAGTTGAGGAGGTAGCATAGAGGTAGACCTCTGCTTTAAAAGAAACAACTGAGAGAGAGAGAGAGAGAGAGAGAGAGAAAAACAAAAACTCCAGACAGATCACATCAAAAGCATTCATACATGGAGCCAGGGATGTTGCTCGGCGGCACTGCACCTGCCTGATAAGCACAAGGTCCTGAGTTCAATCCCTAGTACCAGGAAAAAAAAAAGCATTAAAAAGTATTATATTCATACTTGGTCATTTCCGGGTGGTAAGAATATGAAGGGGTTTTTTGGTTTTTTATTATTTCTCTTTATTTAGAATATGATGTTTCGATATGTTATTGCTTATTTGAATTTTCTAACTTTTCACAATACATACGCACTGCTCCTATAACAATAAAAGGTAATTTTTAAAACTGCAGTCCAAATACTTGTTATTATTCATGCTGCCCCAGGAAAAGTCAAGAAATGTACTCACTGCATTATTCTTGGAGGAGAAAGGGGTGTGGCCAGGCACAATACAAAAGAATGAAATGCTAATCACTGTGGTATCCGGCTGTGGGGGACTTTTCAGGGGAAGTCCCTGGTGCTGAGCAAGTGGAAGGTCCCAGTGGATCAGAGTATCAGGCCCGCACTGGAATGGAAAGAACTGAGGAGGTAAAATCAGAAGACCTGGGTCTGAATCTGGATCCAGTTATCGACTAATTGTGGCTGCTGGCAAGTTATTTAATCTCAGAAGTGGAAGGAACCTTAGAGGTCTTTCTGTGGGTTAATCAGAGGGCAGGAAGCAAGATCCCAGTCACTGATCCTGTGTGGGTTCTTTCCACTATGTGCTGCTTCCTTATTTGCGATATTCCTACCCCAATAATAACTAACTTTGATATAGCAATTTATACTTTATGAAACAGAAATGTTCCTGTTGAATTTTCACAGGCTCTCATGATAAGCTAGAATTGTTCTTCCCTTTTTAAAGGTAAGTTTCTGAGATAACACATGATGTACAATTAGTGAATGGCACAATCAGGACTTGGTCTCTGGGCTTCAGACTCCAAATCCTGCCTTCCTTCCAAGACGCCGGGAGAACTTGTGGAGGTCCCTGATACTTACCTGCTCCCCAGCCCACCCCTGTGGGCCCTTATTTGCAAGGGAGGCATGGAGGCCTGCCCTGATCAACCCTGAATGACCTCAAAGCCCTTACAGGTGCTGAGCTCCGGCTACTCCAAAGAGAATCCAAACTCCTTCTGGCTGTTAGCCAGATGCTTATGAAGTCCAAACCTCTACCTCTCTGTAGCCACTTGGGTGGAGGATCTTCCAGTCCTACTTCCCAACCTGGTTCCAGATTGGCTGTCAGCTTTCTGTGTCCTAAAAGTGCCCTCTCTCTCTCTCTCCCTCTGTCCATCCTCCCTGACCTTTTTTTTTTTTTTTTTAAAGACAGGGTCTCTTTTTGTAGTTCAGGCTGGCCTTGAACTCACTATATAGGCCAGGCAGGCCTCAAACGCACAGTGGTCCTCCTGCCTAGCCTCCTAGTGCTTGGATTACAGCTGGAGCCATCATGTCCTGCCCCCCACTTTCTTCTTTTGGTGTGGTTCTGGGGAATCAAGCCCATGGGCACTCTGCCACTAAGCTATGCCACATACACTGGCACACACGCGCACACTCTTTTTAAAAGGGTCTCGCTAGCTTGTCTAAGCAGAACTCAAATTTGTAGTCCTCCTGCCTCAGCCTGGAATTATAGGCATGAGGCCAACACATTACCAGCCCACTTCCCTCCTCTAGGGAGGCTCCGTTCCAAGGCCCAAGGCCCCTCTTCCCCATCCCTGTCCAGTTCTTGCTTCTCCCTCATGTCCCCTTCTCAGGCTCTAGGACTCTACCCTGCCAGCAGCGAGAACCAGAGTAAGAGGCAGTGTTGGGCCCAAGGGGCCAATGCTGTGAGCAGCTAGCACTATGCACTTTTCCATAATTCACTCCCATGGAGGCAGCAGGCTTCATGCCCTTGCTCTGACGCCAGCGATAGCTACCACCACCTGAGAGCCTTACACTGAGAAGGGATGGGGTGGAGGGCAGGTGAAGTGAGTAGAAGATACCCAGTCTCCAAGCCCATGCTGGCATCTCTCCCCTGTTCTTTATAAAAGAGGGGCTCTGATATAGGCTGCGATTAGGGATCCATGATAAAGGAGGCCACACTGCAATGAGCCAGAAGGCAGAGAGGAAGGACTCAAACATAGTGCCTCGCCCCCTGCTCCCTCCAGCTGTCCACACAGGGTCCCCAGCTTCCCCAGCAACCTCTGCTGTTTACAAACCTCGTAAATGGGGGGGATGTCAAGAACTAACCCTTGAGCAGTGTTATGATTCAGAATTCTAAAGTGTTAGGAATTTTGCAGGAGCAGTTCTTTGCCTCTCATGAGGTGAGGAGGTGGCAAAGTCCAGCCCCCGACCTCCCTAGCCCCATCTCCATCCCTAGGCCATCCTAGGGATTCTGTCTTTCATACACTTTCTTCTACTTGGGCTATCCCTACAGTTCTGCTCAAATCCCAGCCTCTTCCCTATTCCAGTCCTGTCTGTGGAACCGCAATCAACACGTGCGATGGAGCCAATGAATCAACCTAGCTCTTAGCCATGGGGTAGCCAAGATCTCAAGCTAAAACAAACAAGCACCTACTACATGTGATGCTAATCCAAACGATGGGCAGCAAAGGCATGAGAGACAAGCACTTCAGCCCTCTCACCTCCCCCTTCACATGTAAGAGGAAGAACCCCCATATCCACAGAATAGTCACAGTGTCTGCCCCAGAGTGGGCCATAGCTGGCTCTGGAAACCACCGCTGACTTGCCAGGCCCTCAAGAGGCCTGGTTTCGGGAAGGATCTTTCTGGACACTGTCAGCAAGAAACTCTTCAGACATATTTATAGCAAATGCTACATCAGGAGATGGAGCCTGAAAGTGTCTTAGAGCATCAAATAACACTGACGGCCCAGAGACTGAGGTCAGGAAAGGAAGACTGATTGTAGCTAGATAGATTGACGTTGATGTCGGAACTTTCCCCGGAGTAATATCTGAAGCTGGCAACGGGGATTCCCTGTAGAAGCTACTTCTGCAGACTTTTCTCAGAAGAGAAGGATTAGGGATCTTTTCTAGGTCTGGTAGAATAGAAACAAAGGACTAGACATACAGTAGTGATCTCTGTCCTGGTGGTACACAGATTTTCAAATGCCAGGCCCACCAAGCACAGTCATGCAAGTGAGACTGAAATCCAGCTCTCTCTACATCACTAAGTCAGTCTCTTGATGCAGAGCTACCTCTGCCCAGAGACTGGCCAGGAGGGCCAGCAGGGGCCCTGCCAAGTCTCTTGGGTCCTGACAACCTGGGGACCTTGGGGGTCAGGAGACAAGGTGAGCTGAGCCCAGGAAGAAGGGCTGAAGGCTGCTTGGGAAGCCTTGGGGGGCTGGATGTTGGAGCCCAGGGCCTGAAGGGGCCAACAGAGGGCACAGGTCCCAGAAAGATATTCATACTAGAGGCCCTTCTTAGAGTGCCTTGCTCAGATGCTGTGAGGTCAAAGCTGGAGAAGGGGACCTGAGGAGCCTTGAGTAGGGAGGAAGAGGGCATGTTCTGGGCAGGTCCCAGAGAGGGAAAAGGGGACCAGTCATCATACAGGAGGAGTGTGGGAGAGCGCAGTTCTGCGGATGGAGGCTGGGCTCCTGGCTCTAGCTCTAAAGTTCCTACCTTCTCTGTGCAGCAGATGGAGAAGGGGATTTGGTCCAGCAGCTGGGGTGGAAATGAGAAAAAGTGAGGGATGTGGAACTGTCCCTATGCACCTCAGATCCCATCTGACAGGCTTTGGGAGAAGTAATTAATATTTCTATTTTTAAAAGGTGAAGATGTTTTCTAGGCTATAGGTTCAGGCAGAGGCAGTAGAGGAAGCAGGGCAAGAGGAGCCAGGGACAATTGCTTCTCCTATGGAAACTCAAGCTGCCCTAAGGCCCCAAGGAGCTAGTCCATTAGCTGTGGTCAGCAGAGGGGAGGAGGGGTTTCTCCCTCCAGGTCTTATTGCCAAATGAAAGGCAAAGCTTTTGCTCCTTCCATTAGAGCTACAAACAAAACCAACAAGCACAAAAACCTCCACTCACATAATGAAAACACACACGATCTCTTTATGCCTTGTGAAGGCCTGAAGCTGAGTAACTTGGGGGTAAGTGGGTGGTAGGGGATACAGGATACGCGGACTAGACCACAGAGTGAGGGGAGGTGGCACCCTCCCGACGCACTTTCCAGGTTAAATCCAGCCTAAGGAACTGGGGTGGAGAGACAGTCTCCACTGACCTAGCGCGGCTGGATGTCAGCTGAAGAGAAAGGGAGAGACAGTATCCCGAGAGTCTCTGGGAATAAGGAGAATCCAGAGGAGGGTCTTGAGAGACCCCCCCACCACCCGTGGAAGTAGATTCAGAGAGCTCGGGAAAGTTGAGTTTTAGATGGTGCTGAGGTCAGTGGGTCGCAGGTCTATTTCCCTGAAAGGGCCTGTCACCATTCTGCCCCAGCCGATGTCTTAGATACAAGTGGAGAAGGGTCCAGCCTAGGTGCTGGGGGGGTGGGGGTGGGACCAATGAGAGACCGCACCGTTCAGAAGGGGGCAGGGAGAGAGGCGACTGGGACTACACCCCTGCTCCCCTCTTCCCCTGCCAGAACTTGGGCTTGTCCTGTTTGACGTGCCTGCCGGAGGGGGTGGAAGGGGGTACTGACCCTAGGAGCGGTCCCGCGACTCTACGCTCCCTGCTGTCCAGGCTCGGCTGGGATGCTGCCCGGCTCAGCGTGGACCCCCTTGAGAAGAGGATGGAGGTAGGACGCGTTAGAGTGCAGGGCGGTGCGGATCTCTCAAGCCTCACAGGGTTGGGGATAGAGTGCAGCCTGGGGTCCCCTCCTGAGGATCTGGAGGTGGGACTGCAGTTCCTGGAGAAGACTAAGAGAGGGGTTAGTCCTAGGTTTGGGGTCTGGATCCGGGCTGCGCCCGGCTAGGGCAGCGCCTCCTGCTGGCAAGAGTGAAAACCTGGGGCGATTGCAGCCACCTGGAGGGCGTGCGCCGCCACCGGGGCCAGGAAGCCCAGGGGGCGCTGCAGCGGGCCTCAGAGGAGTCGTTTCGTTTTGCCTCGTCCTTCCCTACTCGGAACTGAGACCCGCGGAGCTTGAACCGGGAAAAGAGGGGTGACCCTAGAGATTCCCAGGACGCAGGGCGCGTTTCAGCCAGGCTGTCTCCACACGGATCCCACAGGAATCACAGGGTCCGCGCCTGAGAGGGGCAGATGAACGTGGCTCCCCGGGAAACCAGAGGGCGCGCCCTGAGGCTTGGGCAAGCGAGCGGAACACCAGCATTCTTCCTTTTTGGTCCTTTCCTTTGTTGAGGTCGGGGTCCCAGCCGGGATCTGCGCGCTTTTCTTCCTGGGGTGCGGCGCTGGGCGCTGGGTGTGTGGAGCAGGGGCTGGGGTCGAGCAGAACCTTCCGCCTACGGCGCAGGTGCCAGGGCAACCTTTGAACCAATCCCGCCCGTCTGCCCGCAGCGGCTAGAGCTCGAGTCCCTACCCTTCTGCCCGGGGCGGAGATTATAGAAGTGGAGGGGGAGGGGAAGACCGGGAAGGAAGACGAGAGATGGGGACGGAAGGGCTGTGGGAGGCACTCGGATGAACAGGGAACGGGGATCACCGAAGGAAAGACGGAAGTGGAGAGGCTAGACTGAAGGCGAAGGGAAAGCGAGAGAGACTGACGGAGGCGGGGAGAAAGGGAAAGGGAGGGAGGAGAAAAAGGGGAGGAACCTGGAGCCAGGGAGGGGAGCGGGTGGTGGAGCCGGACGAGCGTGGGGCGAGGCCAGGCGTGCAGGCGGGAGCCAGTGTGCAGAGCAGCGGCGGGTCCTGCTCCTGCCTCGGAGCCCCTGGCCCGGGGGAGGGGAGAGGCCGCTAGCCCGGTCTATGTCTTTTTCTGACTCCAGTGCAACCTTCCTGCTGAACGAGGTAACCGCGGGGTGGGCGGTTGGGGGTTCCCCATTGGGTGAGAGGAGAGCTCTGCTCCAAGCTAAAAGGAGGGCCGGCATTTGGGGGAGACTTCATCATGGGGAGGGAGGGAGACAGAGGAGATGAAGCCAAGGATGGAAGGGGCACTGGCAGATATTGGGACTGGAATGGGAGGGGGAGACTGACTGGGGAGCCAGAACTGTTGCTAGATTAAGAGGGTTATGTCAAGCTTCCATGGTACCTGTCTCTGAATTCCCTGGAGCCAGCCTAACAACTGCCTGTGCTAGGGACCTCACCCGGTCCAAACTCATAGCTCTTGCCTTAGTTTCCCTCTTTCAGTGCCCAGGGATTGGGATCTGCCCAACTTCCTGGTACACTTGGAGGACAGAATATATTTTAGAGGCTCCTAAGAACTCTAACTCCCTAACCGCTTTATTTAAGCTTTTCCTCTTATGTCCTTCTGTGTGACTAGACGGGCTTGAGTAGGCAGGCGTGGGTGAGGTGAGAAATGAAAGGAGCATTGGGTAGCAATGATTGGGGAGAAGGGGGGATGCTCTGAAGCACCTGCAGGACCCAGGGGATGGACCCAGGAATGAGGAACTAGAACCCATCTTCTGGGAGTTGTTGGCATGGCAACTCATGCCTCAGGAGCAGATCTAGACAACATTGTCCCAGCAGGGGATGAAGACAACTAGATGTGTGAGGAAGAAGGGCTGTTGATGGTAGATCTACTGTTACCTGCACTCCCAGCACCCGCTGTGGGTGGGGAAAGTCTCAAAAGGAGAGGCCAAGAGAGCAGATTCAGAGATGTGAGAGAACCGTTAGAACCACCCCGCAGAAGAGCGCTCTGAGGGTCTTTTTCACATCTCTCTCCCTGCTGGAGGAAGAGAAGGAATTGAGATCCGATGAATAGAGAGAGGATACAAGGAATACCAAGGACCTGGGAAAGGGCACCAAATAGTGAAGGCAGTGTCAGAGAACTTCCAATACAGAAAACCCCAAAATATAACTAAGCCCTACACATGCAGCACTCGGGAGGGAACTGTGAGAGCTGACTGCCTGTCTCCATTGTGATTGGGGCTTCTGGATGCAGGGCCTCCAACAAAGTTTTGTGCCAATTCCAGCAGGAGAAAGATACTGAGCAGGGTTGCACTGGCCTCCCCATGGAAGTAGGTGGACTAAGGACAGTCTTAAGATGAGGCCTCTTCTCTCTTTTCTTGCCAAGGGAACAGGAAGAAGTGGCCTAGGTGGGAAGCCAGTTGGTTTAGGTGGTCTTCTTTTCCATGCACTGCGCCTTTTGTCATAGATTTCATCAAACCCTTTCAAAATGTGGCTTGCTGATTTCTCTCTGGCCCAGGATGGTAAAGAGATGAGCAGATTCCTGAACCTCCCTCCTGGGAGTGAGACACTGAGAAGGGAAAAGCGCTTAGCTTAGGAACAAGACCATAGACAAAAGTGCATGGTCCAAGTGTATCCCGTATGTATCTCACACCCTTCCCTTGGGGCATCCAGGTGGATGTTCAAAATTTAAAGCAATAATTTTGCTCAGATGAAAAAAAAAATGAGGTGGTAGATCTTTGGGCAAAGTTTTTTTAAGATAAGGGCTGCTACTCTTTCAAATCTCAGTGCTCCTTTGAAGACTTAAGTGGTACAAAGAGCGGTGCTTGCGAGGCTAGAAGCAGGATACTGCCCACACCACCCACTATCCCCATCCTCGGCCTTTTGCAGAGGGATTTGCTGCCCTTTCCCTTTTCCAACTCCAGTGTACCTGGATCCCACCTTCGATTCCACCCAGAATTCACACATGCACACACCCTCTAGTTTCTTCCCCTCTCCCTTTAGATTAACCTAAAACACCCATGTTCTGCCCAGATCCCACGGAAGCCTTAACAATGTCTGACGAGCCTTGACGGAACCTCTATCCCAACCAGACTAGGAGGCAATCTGTCAGTGCAACAGGTGCGGGGTGGGGGGTGTCTGGGGACCATCCAACCCATCGGAACTTACCCTCTTCTCAGGGGTAGGACGACACCGCCCTTTGCTGCAGCCCAGCACTAGGGGGCTGGGCACCTGTTGGGCTCCTTGCAGAGAGGGCGTTGGCCTGGGGTCGCCAGACCCCAGCTTGCCCAGTACTATTTCGGTGTTTGCTTTCCGAGTCGCCTGGGCCCAGACCCGCCGTCCTCTCACCTGGAACCCCCGCCCCGCGCCCGTCCTTCCCCGTTTTCCTGTCTGCCCCTCCTTCCTCCTCCCCTCCGTCCCCA